TTTCGATGATTGTGTTTATTTTTTCTTTTATCTTTTCTATTCAAGGTTAAATATCATAGTGACACAAGCATTTATTGTGTGTTATGATTTTTGTTTGTTTGATCTCGACTACTGACTCTATACAATTTCGCAGTCTCTTTTTCATGTTGTAACAAAACAACTGTAAACGGAAATACAATTTTATTGTCTCGATACATTTTATAAGTGCATCAGCTGTGAATATATTTAAATGTCTCTTTTTTGTTTAATATAAAAAGAAGTGTATGACAAAAGGCCTACATATTAAAAAGTCCGAAGAGTATGTCAATTAAAAAGATAAGATAAAACTTTTTTTCTTTTTTTTTTTTTTGCTGCTGACTTTCAATCAATATTGATTGAAATAATAAAATGATATGAGATAAATATTATCTACAAAGTTGCTATTGGATATTTTCAAAAATCGAAATAATATTTATTATTTTTTTTATATGAATTTTTTCGGTTTTAAAAAGTAATAGTTGAAGTCAATTAAATCTACAAGTCAAATAGCATCAGAATTTTATGTTCTTTTCGAAAATGCTAATTATGCAAATCTGTAAACCGCAATTAACCACTTACACTATTTGTTAAATCACACATAGAAACAGAAAACTCGTGTGTTAATTGCAACGACTACAATTTTCTCATTTTTCATAGATTAAAAAATATTCGATAATCTACTTAGTTTAGCATGTATTTGTATTTAGTCGCTAACGAAATGAATACAAAAAAACACATAACACGAAAAAAGATGTCACTGCAAAAATATTCTGTTTTTAGAAATCCTTTGTTAATACAACTATTGGATGATATCTAAGATAATAAAAATTTCTCTAGTCAAAATAATATTTATTTTTAATATATTTTGCATTCTATGAGGATAAAAAATTGATTCGCTACTCGTGTGACCAATGAAACATAGGGAAGAAATTCTAAAGATTATCGGAAGATATCAACGGTTTTCACGATATGGGAGAGCTTAGAAATAGTGAGAGAATCTTTATGCGTCTTGAAAAATTGACTAGGTGACAAATAAATAGACATTTGCTACCTACGCAAGTGCTAAGCACGGGTAAATGTGATTATTTTTTAGAGAGTATATTTGTCTATAGTGGATGATACCGAAATAAAATGTAACTTGTGCACAGGGGAAATTATGAGCATTTTCTCAAATTGCTATTTCGAGAGAAAAAGAGTCTCGATTATTTTCAAAAATGACGATGATAATAAAGCAAAAATTTTGATTCTCAATGAATTCTATATCCAATGATAAGTTGTGTAATTTATTTTTTGTATTCATGCACACAATGATTATAGAAACACATGATAGTTTACTCCTTTTATATACTAGGAAATTTATGCTTTGCAAGTTATCGAAGGATGAAAACATGAAATAATTAGTTTCTATTTCGAAGATATTGAAATGAAATAACTATGTTAATATCGATGATTTGAGATATAACTGCAGGAGATTGTTTTTAATAGTTAAAAAGAATATAAAGGATGACCCAGAAGTCCTGGCTCGATTTGTATAATAATTTTTTTTATATTAAAACACATACTTAACAAGTTGTAAAGGATGCTCCACAAAATAGTCTATGACTGATCCTCTCTGATTCATATAGTAAGAAAGTTATAAGCTTAGAAATATGCATCACAAAAAAATAAAAATTAACGACGAATCTCATCTATAAGTTAGTACTTCCAGTAAGTCTTATAATTTCATCGAAACAAAAGATTTATAGGTCAGATTTGTTTTGTTTTTGTTAGATGTAACTACTCTTCTCTACCTGACGGCTCGATCAAAACGTCGATTCGGTTTCCAGTTTCTTGCTGAGTACAGTGTCGAAAGCTGAATTATCGATTTTTGATGTATTCTTGAAAGTTGGTTCTCTAGCATACCATCTTTTCTTAGAACAATTTTCTATAGAACACATTTGAAAGTACCAAATCCAATTGAATTCTCACTTGTGCTATGCTTTTATTTTATTTTTTTTGTGTCTCTCGTATAATATGCTTACTTGTCTTGATTGAAGTTTTTTGAAGTTAAAGTCTATGTAAGATTTTGTAGAGAATTTTACAGCACTTCTATTAAGAATAGAATTTGTTCTAGGCAATCTAAGGAATAGAAGTTATGATGAAAATACTAAGATCGAGTTCATGATTAATTTTTATTTTTTGTGATGCATATTTCTAAGCTTATAACTTTCTTACTATATGAATCAGAGAGAATCAGACATAGACTATTTTGTAGAGCATCCTTTTATTATAGGGACAACTTTTTAAGTATGTGTTTTAGTATAAAAAAATTTATTATGCAAATCGAGTCAGTCTTTATTCAATAAGGAAATTCATTTCCATCTTATATGTTGATCTAATAAAAAAATAAATTTGTTGACCTAACTTCAAACAGATAACGATTTCTTGTAGATGATACTACGAATGTTTTGCAAACAATTTAAATCATCGACATACATTAATAGTTGATAGTAATTCCCAAATCAAAATATATATTAGTAAATTTTTCCTCATATTGCCATTCAAGCAATTGCATTTCTATTTCATTTTTTAATTCTATTGGGATTGTACTAATCAATTATAAATATACATAAATGAATTTTAAAGTAATATTAGATCTTTGATTAATTTACTAAGTTACTAATTTTTGATAAAAAAGAAAATAACAGAAAAACAAATCTATGCTTTACTTGTATGCATAATTAAAAATTTTCGCTATAGTCTGATGAATTAAAAGTCCGAGTAAAATTTTGATTTTTTTTTTTTTGTAATATTCATTTTCATTTTATAATAATGTCTTTTGTTGCTTTTCATGTGCTATAGATTGATCATATACCTACCATTATCATCCTCTATCTATAGTGTATGTCTTAAATTTTTATCTTTTTCTATTTGTACACATTCCCTAAATAATCTCACGTATATCAATTTTTCATATGTTATTACAAGTTTGATTTTCATTTGTATACTAAACCTTGTTTAACAGATTTCAAATATGGTACGTATACACAAGACTATATACTAACATATTCCGGGATAACTTTTTATATAATGCTTTCTTTCTTAAATTATGACAATCAAAATGAAGATACCATACAATACAGAGTTTTTATGATGATGGTGATAAACATATTGGTGCTACACCAGACTTCACTTTGAAGATTATTGGATATATACCTGGTGTTATTAACAGATATATTAAAGAAGACATTCAGTTTGATAGTACAACAGATGAATTAATAGTCGAATCTTCTACTGTAGTAATAGATAATCTTGATATTAAGGATGATCTGGTGAAATAGAGGATGAATATGAAAGACCAGAGAAAATGGAAGATGAGTGTGGATTGTAATACAACAAGATTTACTCTACTCTATAGACACATAACGGGTGGTGCAAAAGTTTTGCATTAATTTTCTTTTCAATATAGCATGGCAACGAATCTTCATCGAGACTTAATCATTGTCTTGTTAGAAAGAGCAAGATGTCTACTACAAAAATGTGTAAAAATATTTGATTCAAAATGTTTACCAAAGACTAAAAAGTCTTAAGAATAAATTGAACCGAAAAAGTGTCCTTCAACTTAACTCAAAATTAGAGATGAGAAGTGCATGTGTTTAATTTTTTTTTTTACACTCGACTTTAGATGTTTGGAGACACATTATATATGAGTCTAACCAATACAATGTGGGCTTTCTAATCATGCAAAAATATTCGAGTTACAAAATCACAGATTTCAAAGGACACAGTTTTATTAAAAAGTTGATTTTCCGTCTACAACATCCAATGAAGGTTTTCTCACAATGTCTAACAGAGAAACTGAATTCTGTTTTATATAATGTGCTTTTGTAGAGGACTCAATAAGCTTTAATTGTATATAAAATAGGTGGTTTCTGGTAACTTCGATGTTGGAAGAAATCTTATTTTTCGAAGTCATTCATTAATTGTGAAAAATTTGCACTAACAAAAGATATTAGAAAAATGTTGATTTCGAACTTAACCGGTCACTTGAAAATCTTACTTTTGCTCGTTTACAATGTCCGATCGTAGCGCTACGAAATCTGATAAAAACCGGAAAAAAATATCAATTTTCTTTGTAGATAAAATTTCTTCTTCTGAATTCCAGAAATTGAAAGGCACTTATCCAGTTCAACGTGTTCTTAAAGCTTTTTAGTTTTTAGTAAACATTTTGGATCAAATATTTTTTACATAATTTTGTATTAGACACTTAGCTCTTCCCAACGAGAAAAAAATCAGAACTCTATAATGATTCGTTGCCACGCTATACCGAAAAGAAAATTAATGCAGAACTTTTGCACCATCCGTTAATCAGCTTTCATCAATTACATTTATGTATATTGTATTATCTGTTTTATGTAGCATGAATTTCACTCTGGTAATGCATATGCTACCTTTCTTTTTTTTTCTGCTTAGTTCTTTAAATGAGTTTATTCTATATTGAATTGGTGCATGTTATTAGATATTCCAATTCATGTTTTATGCTCCTATGTAATAGCACATTATAATTCCTTCGCATAGTATTAAAATAAAATTTGATGTGAACATACCGCTCAATTCAGACTTTTAATTCATCGAACTATAGTAGAGACTCAGTCAGATTGATTGCGGATCTGACAGAAAAGCATAGAAAAAAAAAACGAGAAATGTTATTTCACTAATACTAGTATTTTCTCGATTATAGTAACTATTCGTTCCATCCCAAAGACGTACTCTTATTCAATTCCATATATTCAATCATCATCCATCAAATTATATCTTTGTATGCAAATATATGGCATACAGCTGTATCTGTACTTTATTATTTTTTTCTCTCTCTCTCTCTCTCATCATAATTCCAATGAGACACCGAATATAAAAATTGTACCAAAAAAAAAACACAAGGAGTAGAATCCATGAACAACATACACACATATATATATATATATATAAATAAAACACAATGATTAGATAAATGTATTATGTATATCATTATTTGAAACAGTTGTTATTGTTCGTGTTTTTAATTGTTGAACAGTTGTATTTAAATGTGGATATGAACGTATTTGTTTTTGATAATCAAATCGAACTTGTTTTGGTGATGATTGATTATTTGATGATATTATTTGTTTTTCATCTATAGATGTTTGATATGAATTAATATTATTAAATGTTGATGTATTTAAATGTTTTTTTGATGTCATTAGTATATCTTTATATAACCAATCAGGATAAAGAATTTTTTCAATTGACCATTCAGTATTATTTATAATTGTTGATCGTTGTTCATCAGCTAATTCATCAGTATCTATAATATAATAAAAAAAAAAAAAGAAAACAATACTAAATTTTAAACATAAAAGAAAAACTATTTAACCTTCATCATGTTTACTACTATTACTATAATAATCACTTGTTGTTTGTGTTGGTTTTATTATTTCATGATGTTGTATATCGATATTTGCACCTGTATAAGAAGAATGAAAAACAAAAAAGATGAATTTTGTTTTTTTTGTTCTTTATTGATCTCTCTTCTCTGTTCAATGTCAAGAGATATATTACAAAAGAACAAAGAACACATTGACATTTGATAATTCGATAGTGATTTTAATATAAAACATATTTGTTAAACTTATTACCTGTATATGATGGTGATGATGAATGATCGACAAGATGTTTTTGATGAAGATCTTCCTGAACGACAAAAAGAATAAAGTATTACAATCAATATTATTTCATTAAATAGACTCTAGTGAGAGTAAAAATATGCGAAAGATGTTTCGATAACTGAAATTATTAGAACAAAAACAAAAGTTGTCTAATTTGAAAGTAATGATTGTAGCTAAATTCATGTCTATGGATACTCTGTATATATATGCTTTGAAGTGTTCGCTATCTATGGAAAATATTTCAAAAATTAATATATAAGAGTCATACAAAAGATCTTGAAAATCGTTCCTGTTCAAGTTGAACCTTTCTTCTACTTACACTCGAAAGTGTTTCGGATGCCTAATTGTTTAAATATGTTATACCGCTGACCTTTTTTTCAGAATCTACAAAAAAAGTAAAGACCATGCATTTTTAGGCGTATGCTCATTATTTTGGTCTTTATATTCAAATGAAAGAAGATAAGTTGTAGCTGAGAGAGCAGGGCAACTTTTACCCTTTGCAACTACGATATCTCCTAGAAGGAAGCATCTGAAAATTTTGTGTCTATGACAACTTTTGCTCTATTTATTGAGAATTATTTACTCCGAAAGTTTTAAAAATTTCTGATAAAACTATTCTCTGGAACAGAGGGAAGGTCGTCTTAAGAGAATTTTCAATATTATTGACCCTGAACCATAGGATATATGAAAATAACTTGAACGAGGTGGGAGTTATTCTTGGAAATCATGCTAAACAAGTTTTAGAAATGGATTTCTTCATTCAAATTCAGAAAAAATCATATTACAGTTGTATATTTTTAAGCACATAACAGATGAAGATAGCTAACGTCATCCATCATACTGGTTAATATAGAAATGTTCTATTCAATGCTAATGCAAGTAACAACGAAGTTTTTCCAAAACAGAAAAAATCATGAAAATTTCTTCGAAAACACGATAGTAAAGTCGAGATTTCTTGTAATAAGTCTGTAAAACTCGGGTCGTTTCGGAGAAAGCTATATATATTCTGCAAGAGGAAGCTTCGATGCATCTTTCTATGACAAAAACTTAACTTCGATATTTTTTTCGTAAAATCCGGTCTTCTAAAAAGGGACCCCCTCAACTAAAAGTAGTTTATTGTGGATGTTTGCTTCTATCCTGAAATACGAACATAAAATGTACTGATGAGAAAGCTACGGATCCAAATCCGAGATTTTTCCGTGAAGATGTATTACCCTTTATGTACATGAACAAGTAGAGCATCGAGGTTTTAGCGATTTATTCGCCATTCTCTGGAAAAAAACTCAACGTACGGTTATATCTTGTTGCTATATTTCTCATCTGAGAAGCAGTAGATTTACAAAAAATAAAATTATGGACCCGCAGTCCTCTACTGCTGATTTATATAAGCTATGTAAAGGATACACAATTACCACAATTATTTCTTAGGATAGGAATAGTGGCAAAACCTGAAACATTCATTTAAAAAAATCTATTGTTAAGACTTGTCTCTATACAAAGTTTCAAGTTGAAAATCAGTTTTTCTGTTATCATGACATTTATTTAAAAAATACTGTAAAAATGTAGTATTTTCATAGCAATAAGCTAAGGGATGTTCAAAGTTCATTAATTTTTTTTTTTTTTGCAAAAAATTTCTCTTTCATACCAAACTTAATTTAGATGAATTTGAATTTGAATCTATTGAATGATTATGATCATTAGTTAATTTTGTATTATTATTATTATTATTTAATTGATTTTTTTGATATTTTATATATGATAAATATTTTCGTTTTCGATATCGACATATAATAATTAAAATCATAGAAATAATAAATATAAAAATAAATATAATTGAAAGAAATAATGTTATTAATAATATAAAACGTTGTATTATTGTTAATGAATTTATTTTATAAAATTTATTTATATTTGTATTATTATCATTAATAAATAAATTAATTTTTATTAATGATGAATATTGTAAAAATTTTCCATTATCTTTTGCTTGTATATTTAATAAATAATATCCAATAATTGGTGTTGAATTTAATATTAAATCACCATTATTTAATAAATTTAAAAAATAATAATTTTCATTTAAATAATAATTAACTAAACCATTTCCATTTGTTATATTATCATAATCAATAGCTTCAAATTTCATTATTATTGTCCCAATTTTTATTTGATCTTTATTAATAAATAAATTTGTAAAATTTTTTATTGGATTTTTCCATTGTGGTTTATTATCATTAATATCTAATATTTCAATTGAAATAGGTACAGATGTTTGAAAAAAATGATCTGTTACAATAATAAAAAAAAAATATTTATTTTTTAATTCATAATCAATGAAATTTTTTAAATATAATTCACCATATTGATTTATATGAAAATGATTTTCATTTTCAATAAAATAATATAAATTTGTATTTAAATCATAATCATATGCATGAATAGAAGCAAATATTTTCCATAATGGAAAATTTTCTTCAAGAAAAAATTCATATTTATCATATTCAAATATTGGTTTATTATCATTTATATCTTCAATAAAAATTTCAATTGAAATTTTTGATGATAAACTTATTGGATAACCATGATCATATACAATTATATCAAATGTATAATTTGAACGTTTTTCACGATCAAATATATCTAAACAACGTAATATACCTGAATTATTATCAATTGAAAATGGTAAAAAATTTTCATTTGTTAATATTTCATATGTTAAACGACCATTTTCACCATTATCAGGATCAAATGTTTCAATTTTTGTTAATATTATATTTGGTTGATTATTTTCATAAATTTTTAATTGATAATATTGTTGTAAAAATTTTGGTTGATTATCATTTTCATCTAAAATATTTATTGTTAAAATTTTATTTGTTTGTAATAATTTATTTAAATTAAAATCATTAACATAAAATTTTAAATAATAAATTTGTTGATATTCATAATCAAATGATTTTGTACAATTTAATAAATATGTTAAATTATTTATTTGATATAAATGAAATTCTTGATAATTTTTATTATTATTATTATTATTATTATCTAATATTTCAAACCATAATGAAATATTTCCATTATTAAAACTATCATAATCAATTATAAAAATTTTAACAAAAAATTTATCAATTGAATAATTTTCTGATATTTCAATAATATCATTTGATATATTAGAATTTATTTCAGGTAAAAATTGAAAATTTATTATTGGATAACAATCATTTTCATCTAATATTGTTATATTAATAAGTGTTTGTGATGAACGTATTTCTTTTCCTAAATCATGTGCTTCAATATAAAATAAATATGATGTACGTTGTTCATAATCAAGTAATGAATGAAGATATATAACACCTGTTTTATTATTTATAGAAAATATATTATTATATTGTTTTGATGCATCAGTAAAATCATATATTATTTCACCATTTAAACCTATATCATCATCATATGCATGAACTTGAAGAATTTTTGTATTTATTGATGTATTTTCAGATAATTCAATTGAATAAATATCTTTTTCAAAACTAAACAAAAGAAAAAAAATATATGATAGAGAAAGTCAGATGGTTGGACTATGTCTAGTGGAAGAGTTTAGCTAGTGTATGACTTCGATAGGTAGGGGAAGGAGAGGTTTAGTTCCCTCTTAGTTACGTCAAATGTTATTCTTGATTTAGGACTTCATTATCATTTGTAGATGAGTTTTCATTTACAAACGAATTCTAATTTGAAACTCTAAGATCTCATTAATTGTTTCGGTTGAGTGTCCGGTATCCAATTCGATTGCAGAACACTATGGTAGACTAAATATTTATCCGAAATTTGGTGTCTTTTTTTAATATTTTATTCATTATATGATTAGAAAAAAAGTCCGTGCATGATTTTTTGAAAAATAGTTTCATGGTTCAGAAAATCAATTTCTTCGATTTGATAGCGAAATATTATAAATACAAGTTCACATTCAGAAATTTTCGTCAATTTTCAACCTTACATGTGGTTATTCGAAAATAGTGTGTGTAAGAACTGAGTTTTGCCGAAAACTTGTTTAATATGATACTTCAAATGGTCAAAATTTCTAAATAGAAATCTATATCTATGATCTCTTACTATCAAATCGGGAAAAATCTATTTCCTCAATCATATGATGAATAAAATCAAATTAATATCTTACATTGGTGTTTGATCATTAACATCATCAATAATAATTTTAATATAAAGTTGTGTATAATGTCCATTTGTATCTGTAACATATAATGTACAATTATATGAATCAATTAATTCTCTATCAAGTGTTTCAATAAGTAAAAGAACTAAACGATTTGATAAATCATTATTTAATTCAAGTATAAATGGAAAATTTTCATCGAAATTTTTTAATTGATATTTTAATTGATTTTGATTATCTATATAATCATAATCATATGCTTGTTGTAAAAAAAGTTTTGATTGATATGGTGGAGAATTTTCTGATATATGTAATATTATTTCTGATGTTTTATATGGAAATATTGGTTGATGATCATTTATATCATCAATTATAATTGGTATATAATAAAGTTTTTCATTATATAATTCAAAAATTTTTAATAAAAATTTACATTGATTATGTCGATGATGTATACAAATTAATTCACGATCAATATCCATAGCAATACGTAATTCACCTGTTGTTGAATTTAATGAAAAATATTGTTGAATTTCACGATAATTATTATTAACAAAACGATATGAATATCGTTGATTTATTGATGTATTAAGTTTAACTAATAAATGACCTATTGATGTATGTTCACGTATAATTATATTTGATAATTCAATAAGATCACAAAAAATAAATGATAATGAAAAAAGTAAAAAAATTAAATTTTTTATCATTATTATATGAATTTTTTTTTATTGATTATCTTTAAAAAAAAATAAATTCATTTCAATATTTTAAATAATCTATATTTTAATCAAGAATGTTTATATATGTTAGTCTAAGAACAGGTGCTAAATGAATTCTAATTCTGACAGTGAAACCTGACAGATTCATCGATCATGTTGTTTTTTTTTTAAAAAGAGTGAAGAAGCATATCTAATTCAATGTATTCATGCTCGAGTTGGACCGGTCACTTTAAATCTTTACATATATGAAGTATTCCGAAACATAAACATACACACATTACTCTCTTCTTCTTTTTTTCTTAAGAATAAATTCTGAACATTACTTATAATTGTACATACAATACTCGAAATTCATTCATGCACATAGGCGACGATTAACACACATACACATTTATTCACTTAATATATACTACTCTTATTCAAATTCCTACATAAAGAAAAACGACAGATGATTATGTACATCGCTTCTTTCTTCTTCTTCTTTTTTTTTTAACCTTGCAATAATGACATTGTTTGACAAGTGGAAATGACGAGTAAAGATAGAAAAGATCTTCTACAATAATGAAAAGAAACATAGGAGGATGATGATGATGATTAGACACATATATGCAAATGAAGATTTTCTTCTTTTTTTTTTTTTCTATACATGTAGGTGCAAAGTAACCATCATCAAATGAACTAAAAGTATAATACGTACATGTTGTTTAAGATCAGACGCATATTTAAAAATTATAACTAATGTATGACAAATTTGATGAAGAATAAGAACAAAAAGAATAAAAACAAAGAAGTTAAATGCATTTACCTGTAGCATCATTATTTTTTTCCATTTGAACGAAAACGATAAAAATTGTTCGCTCATTTGTTTGCCTTTTTTCTTTTCTCTTCAAAATAATTATGATTCTCTCATTTCTCTTTTTCTCTCTCTCTCTCTCTCTCAATTCAATCGCTTGTGTTGCTATTTAATAAAAATAATTAAATAGAGTACATTACACCAAATGAAAAAAATGAACTAATAACTTTAAAAAAAAAAAAAAAGAAAAGTTAATTCGACAGAAGAAAAAATAAGAAGAAGAAATCTAATATGAACTAGAGAATACCACTTGAAAACTTAGACATACAGAAGTTATGTGAAGAGAAGACGGTCTTTTTGATCATCGACTCAAGTTCGATCAATGTATATATGGCTTCAATCAACCTTCACATATATGAATACTTATATTCAACCTCCATTCAATATTTGTTCACTGGCATAAGACATTATCTTCTAAATATATATGTCCGTTGAACTCATGCACGCATTATTATAACAGAAAAGAAAAAGTAGACCGACACACACATATTTATATATATATCATGTAATACTCATTTCAGGCACGCACCTGAGTTTTGTGGGTAATCGAGTTAGAAATAGAGTAATCTCATCGAAATATTACTGTATTTGTTACCGTCAATATTGCTTAACACATGGTACCATTGAAGAGGACCATGACTTTTCCCATATAGCAAATTTTTAGAGTTCATATACATATGTATGACGTAATAAATTGTAATATGTATATGTACGGCTGCTGCATCCCTGTCAAGAGGCAATAAACGTTCTTTCTTATATACTTCATTGTTAAATATTCAAATGATAAAGCAAAAGAATTAACTATATTTTCTTTTTTTTTTTTTGGAAATTAATTTCACCATAAGATTCTTTTAACAATAGACTAATTCTTTATTTGAAAAGAATATATTCGTGCAAATAACAAATTATAGAAATATATATTATCATTAATTAAAGAGACACTAGTCCTATTCAAGTATTTATATATATATTAAGTAAGTCAAAGTTCTAGAAAAGAAAGAAATAACCTTGACTTAAACAATGATGTTTGTAGTTCCGGAGAATCTAATAAAAAAAAAAGAAGATATTTATGCTATTACTTAACAATAATGAAGAATCTCTAATTATGCATATATGACACAATGACAGCATCCGTTTTTAATAAGAGATATGCATAAAATTACTAAGTATGACTCTTGAAAAGAGAAGGAAAAAAAAAGGAGAAGAAGAAACGAATAATCTTTGACATCATCTGTAAATGGATATGTTGATATTTAAATTAAACTGTAACCGACTTCTTTCTTTTTTTATCACGATAAATAACAGACGAGAATAATTTATCAAACAACAAAAAAAAAAAAAAAACGATAATCTGTTTTTGTTTGTCTATACATTACCATCCGGTATTAAAAGGAAATGAAATTGAGTATGATGTTCTTTTATTTTTTTTTTTCTATTCAAATATTCCTGCTACTGTCAATCATACAATATGCATATATACATATCTATATATATATATACATTGAATGGTGGTGTACTCTTTTTCATCGTTCTAATGCTTTTAAATATATATATACATATAAGCGATTGAACTGACCTTGAAATAACATCACTTGTATGTTATTTCTCTTAATCATACAGGGTCAATCAATAAGGTTATTGAATTGATCAGTTCATAAATGAGACATTTAACCTGCAAGGTATATATTTGATATATATATATATCGGATAAAAATATCGTATTCAAATACTCTTAATAGAAGAAAAAACAAAGCAAAAAGACATGTTTTTTTCCAATCTATCATCGAATATCTTGTTTCGTCTAGTCGAACATTAATGGATGATGTACAAGTGGAATAACATAACGAGAATGACAATTAGTAACTGATCGATCGACTGACCATTTGTATGTCCGTCAATGAGCGATCTATCATCGAGTAGATTTTAATACGTTTTTAGTTCTATTTATTATTTCTTTGGGAACTAACTACAGAAGGTATATGTCGTTCTCATTTAACATTATCATTAATATGACATATGAAAAAAGAGAGAGAGAGAGAGAGAGCAAGAATAGTTATGATTTGTGGTCATTGTGTAACTACATTTTTCGTTATTATTCATCAGGAATAATTTTTTTTTTTGCAATAATTTTTATATTACGAAGAAAGAGAAGAGCAATCACATGCATATACATATATATATATATACTACAAAAGAATATATGTTTCTACATTATCAAAGTGTAAAAAGCATAAGCATATTTTGTCGTCAATGTTTGAATTAGTTGTTATATCATCTAATTGATCTTTCACCTCTCTCAAGAGACATTCTGTTGTTTTTATTTTTAAACAATATTATGCTTACTTTGTAACACTTAATTATTTTTTTCTTTTTTCGATTGCATAAACATGATGATGAAAAGATATTGTCTTATTTTCTTTATTCATCATTGAATGGTTCCAGTAAATGAATCTTTCTTTTTTTTTTTTGTAGTTTGGGTAGATTTACTTTTTTTGATTGTTCTTTATATAACAAGTATATACCCGTATTTATATGTAAAGGTTAAAGATTACGAAATCGATTTGTATTACATATGAACATCCGACCAAGTTCGAATGTCTTCTTTTCATCTACTTGTAAATTGTCATGGAATGTTCATTATTATATTCTGCAAGGTTTTCTTTTATAATAGTGTCATTCTGTCATCTTAAGATAAATAAATATTATCTTCGGTTATATTAAATTCATTTCATTGTCAATGATGATATTTTTTCATCTTGGCTTTTTGAAAAAAAAAATCACTTTACTCATTCTATATATATGCCCTGTAGTCTTTTCGTCTAATCATCTAAGTAGTCACATCTATTTCATATTAGTTACTTGTCTGATCCGATTTTTTTTTTTTATTGGATCGAATGATTGATTGACTCAACACAATATTAAATTCTTAAACAAAAAAAAAAAACAAAGTCTATATGAACATGTGTCTTAATTCATTTCCGAATATATGTAGTTAGTCCAAGGCTAATAAATATATTTATTTAAATATGATGTAATTTGTACATAAAGGTGAATTAGTATTTCTTTAAGTTGATTTAATGATTATTTCCGATATGTTGTTTGAACTTGTTGATGAAGTTATATTTACAAAAAAAAATATAGAAATCAAATTAAGTTAATGCCAATGGGAGATATTGTTGTAACAAATGATTTATTTGGATGTAAAAAAAAAAATTTTTTTGTTGTTATACTACACACAAATAAAAAAAAAGAAAAAAGGCAATTTATTGTTCGTCATCAGCAATACCATCTTGTCTTGAACCTTCATCAGCTGTTGCCTAAAATAGAATAAATAAATGTATGAAAAAATAAAAAAGAATATCTTTAAAAATTTCCAACTTCTCGATTTTCTTCAGCTCGACGTTTTTGTTCTTCTTGTGCATCATTTTTTTCATCTTCATTAAATTGATCTTTATCCAATCTAATATAATAATTAATTTTTCAATAAAAAAAAAAAAAAATTGATAAAAAAAAGAGATTCTACCGTTCAAGTTTATCAATAGCAACTAATACTTCCATTCGATATGAATCAGTTTCAGATAAAGGTGTTTCTATTAAATAAAATATTTGATTCAAAAAAAAACAAAACAAAAATTTCTTTTTTTACCTAACAAAACAAGTGCTCTTAGCATTGGTAATACAGCCAATTTTTTAAGTTCTTCTGGATCAGTAACATTGTTCGCACTAAAATTTGTTTTTTTTTTTTTTGTATTTTATATAACAATATAAATCTATTCTTACCGTAAATTGACATATTGCAATTGTTTCATATTTTCACTAAAACCATCTAATATTTCAATTTTATTATCACGTAAATGAAGTGTTGTTAAACGACTTAATTCTTGTAAATCTTCAAGTTGTGTTATATTATTAGCTGCCTAAAATAAATTAATTTATATAGAACAAAAAAAAAAATTTTTTTTACAATAAATAAATTTTTTAAATTAGGTAATGCTATGCTTTTTGTTGTTGTTAAACGATTTTCTCGCATTTCAAGTGTTATTAAATTTGGTAATTTACTTTGTTCAAGACCCGTACAAGTATCAATTTGATTATCTAAAGAAATAAAAACCAAAAAAAGTTGATTTAAACAAAA